AGTTCATTGGCACTGTATCCTACTAGGCGAAGTAATTGATTGACATGACGCAGCAATTGATTTTTTTTAACTTTTTTATAGACGTTATATGGAATATTTACTTCATCAAATACACTTAATATAAGTAGACATCCTATTATTGTTTTTGTTTACTTGTGCGTCAACGTCCAAAATTAATTTGTTGCTATGTAGAGAAACAGTTTTTCTACACGATAAAAAACAACGAGGGAAAGAATCTCTTGGAAATCAGTAACCAAAATACCAGTTCTTATACATGTAACAACTAAAAAACTCCTCGGGTACTGAGGATTTATTATTCGTTTGCATTATTTGCATTTTTCATAGAATAGAATTTCTTTCATTTTAGCATATTCAAAGAAAAGAATGTTATACAGACATTGTCATACAATGCTATACAATTACTGTTTTAATTGAAAACATGGAAGAAATATTTCAACAACGTCTGATTGCATTTATGTGAAATTATTTCTGATTGCATTTTCTGTTTGATTTAAACTTTAACGACGGGGAGTGGTCGTATCATTTGCAAGTCGTGATGATGATTTCGTCAGACGGCACGCGCGCGACACGACTGAGGGTGGGGGATAAAGGATTTCTACCTGTGATTTCAATACATATTCACATGTTACTCACTCGTAAGTTGTAGCATAGTTACTGAGTTCCTATATATACATACCTCTCACTGAATCTACGCTAAAATTACTTCACAAATCTAAGTGCGTAATTTATTCCGGACAATGAAATGGCAATAATACGAAAACTAAAAATTAATGACTTCTCGCACGTAAGATAAACAGTAAAAATTTTAATATCGTTAAGTATGTAATAAATGGCGTGTCATGAGGGTGGCGGTGGCTTGGTGGTCGTTGATCCATCGTGAATATTTTATATTTTTAGTTATTTCTGTAAATAAATTAAAAAAAACTTCTGTAAGCTTTGCCTTCAAATACAAGATTATTTTCTACGTTCTCAATGACATAAGAAATCCATTTCCATTACGTTATTGGCTGTAAAAATAGCATTTGTTATGCAATTTCATTTTACACATATAAGTGTACCTACGTAGTGAACAGCTGGCGACCTCGTGGGCGAATTAATGGAGAGCGCGGTTGTCGAGCCCTGGTCGCTGCACGTGCGCGGGCCTTGGAGCGAACCAGGGCTTCGTTTAGCGGGAACGATGCTCCATTTATGCCACGTGTATTCTATCTGTTCTATGTTGATTATAGTTCATTAGGTCGATACTTACATACATGACATCGAACACGTAATGTGCGGTAATAATAATTAGTATCATAATCTAACAATAAAAAAAAAAAACTAGAGATTTTTGTACCGCAGTATAATCATTCTACAGATTTACTATTAACTTTTTACAGCAATATATAATTATGAATACTTTATGTTAGAACGAAGAAGGACAAGTTAAATAGAACGTTTGTGTTATCAATTCCTGAGATAATAGGCTTATTAATTGCAAACAAATATAAAGTACCATGTGAACAATATTGATTTACTTTTTTACCTTTGAAATATGTGCCAGTAGTTATTAATCCCTGTTATGAAATGGAAGAAGACATATACAATTATAATATGATTCTCATGTACATATTGATATGTTTCTTTGAATTGTCGTTTGTTATTTGACTTCTTGTCGCATTACGTTACGATTATTGATGTACTGGCGCGCAACTACTCTGTTGATGACACACTCTGACATTAAAAAGCAGTATCCGCACCGTTAAGAATCACTCGCCGTTTAATTAATTGCAATAACATGTTTGCATGCAATTACAAGCCCATTGTGAGAGTAACGGTACCAAAGTTTATCTTCTATATGAATAAATATCGTTATTAGTTTATTCACAATTGACAAAAAGCTAAGGCATTTTATTTAAGCTTTAATACTGTATTTTATCTTAACATTGATAGTTTATTTGTTCGTTCAGTTTTATTTTTAACTTTATCTCAGACGTTTTAATGCATTTGCTGACAGTTTAATGGAAGTATCCATTCACTTCATTGTCATCTATTCAAAATTCGATACAGCAATAATGATAATAGCAACCTCCAATAGACAATGCTATTAGAGGTAAGAAACATTGTTATAAAGAAATTAAATTTGTTACACAACAATAAAATTACTTTCGTATTTTATCATTATAGACAATGTAATGTGGTATGTTGTAAGACTAGAAACTACATAACCTTTTTAAAAAAAGTCTATTTAGTGTAATTAAACAAAAAGGTGTGAATGTTTCTCGAATAATATCTATAGGCGCAATTTTTCTTAACGTATACACTGAAAGAAATGTTTAAGCGATCGATATTTTTTCTTATCAAGGTATTGAATTTTTAGTCTCGATATTATTTCCTGTTTGCAATAAAAAAAAATACCAACATCATTGAGTATTGTTGATCGTTTTGTGCGATTTCCGTCATTTTGTAATCGGCCAATGTAGTCTTGAAGGTGTGTTAAGGAAATTGATAAATAAATTAGATGCAGATTGAAGCGATGAAAAAAATAATAATTTGTGGTGGTGTAGTGATCATAAGAAGATGTGCCAGAAAACAAGGAAACTGAAAACAAAAAAAAAATAAAAAACATTAAATAAATCGTTACATAAAATGTTCAATTTCAATTCTGGTGCATAAGTCTGTGTTCCCCACCATGCTTAGACTTAAACCACTGAGTCGGTACTTTTTGTTCTAACTAAACATAAAGTCCCGTTCCATTTGAACCCGTTATAAGTTCACCATGTATTTATCTCAGCGATAACTTATAAGTTCATGTTGTTTGCAGTTATCTACAAAGAAACTGTATATAAAGCAGATTAGATTTTTAAATGGACATTTTTAAATACCTTACCTATTTAACCTTAACGCCCACAATTAGACAAGCCACAATAGTAGTCTTACCTAAACTGCATAAGAAGATCTTATATCGACAACACATGTATTACTGTGTGCAAGGACATGCCTTTATTTTAAAAGTATAATTTCATCCTACATAAGTTTGAAGCAAAAATAAAGAGAAAATATTACAAAGGAACTATATCATTATTATCTCCGGCGGGTAATGATAACTCCCCACGACACAGGCCACTCTCACTTCGATGTGATTTACGCGGTGAATTACAAAGCGCTAGATACGATAGTGTCCGACAAACAACTAGTGCAAAAAGAGGAGGGGGAAAATTGACGCGTATACACTTCCGATGAAAATAACTACAGAATGACGATGCATATCAAATATCTGATGAGCTAATCCTCACAACAAAGTTTTGCTTCTTTGATTGAAATTTAATTTACTTTAAAAAATAAAAATCTATTGCACATGCATAATTCGTTAAATCGTAGGTCATCAGATTTCGAAACATGTTATAAAATATACAGAGCTTTTACTCTGTAAATAGGTCAACGTCGACGGCTTCACATGAAAAGCATTGCCCGTTGTGAATGTATTTCAGTGATATAAACATCCCTCAAACATTTGGTATAGCCATCATTACTCAACGAATGACTTTCGAGTGATAAAAGAACCAACCTAGTTTCTTGTTTTAAAAATAGAATAAAAAACCAATAATTAACCTGTGTTAACATGAGAAGCGTCTTGCTGTAATTGATTCGGGACCTAAGAGCTAGTTATCATAGTTAACCTTGCAACGAGCTATATTTATTGTAATCTTAATAATTCGCGTTGTAATGTCGTATTTGTGGTATGGGAGCAATGCACTTGAATCATATCACTAAAGGCGTCAATAAACAACGCACGGCTGCAAGTGCGTCGTTCATTCCAGCACGTGAATTTATAGCACCGCATTCTAAGAGAATTGCTGGCCACTCATCCCATACCCAAGTCACTGACATCTTTGGACTAAAATTTTTTGACTTACACGGATAACATACGTAATGTATTTTATAAACAAGATAGTAAACTTTTTAAAGATTGTATTAGTGAATAAGGTAAAGCCGAATAATATTTTCTGTTAGGTATAATCCAGAAATTGTACTCTCACAAGTGAAGTTACTTTTTACAGCAATATACGCCACTAAAGAGACTTTAAGTAACATACAAGACTTTCTTACAACTTGATAGTTTGGTTTTACTTCACTTAGCTAAAGTGTTGTTGTATGTAATGTACAGAAAAGCGTACGGTTAACCGAAGCATAATGTCGGAAGTGGTTAGTGTGGGGCGGCATTATAATAGCGCGGAAAGCGCCTAACGGAACGACGCAGGTTGTCGCGGTCAGCCGGGCACGGTCAGGTATAGCCAGCGAGGCGCGCATCCGTACTTAGTTTGCGGTTTCTATAGCTGACTTTCATTGTTCACTGCTGTATAAAGGAGATTCTTTTGTAAACTTGGAATACCTGTTGTCAAATTTCATCTTTTTACATGGATATGGATGGATATGGACTGGACTTCAAATAAAATTTCAACTAATGACATCGAAGTAGTTACTGATTTCGTTAATTTATATTAAATTTACGAAATGTCTATGTTTCGATAAAAAAAAATACCTTGCACCAGATTTAAGTAACTGTCTCAATTCTTATCCTTGGAATAATCATTTAAATTCATACTGAGTGTAATGTCAAGAACCTCATTTACTCTTTAAATTACTGACTGATAAAATACACCTGATTGCAGTGCTTATTCTGGTACTTTTATTTTGTGATACAATTTGGATTGAACATTCAATTTCACTTTATGTACCGTTACAAAGTTTATTTTTAAACTCTTATCTTGTTACTTATGTACTTAATATACAGTTCCGTGTGATGTCCAAGTAAAAAGAAATTTCCTAACAATTCCCTATTTAATTTAGTTATACAATTCATATGATATTTAAAAAAGAACAATCGTTCTTTATCCACAACAATTTAAAGGACTAAAAATAACTGTGTACTTAGTAAGGTAAAAGTTTATTATAAAAACGTAAACATAACGTTTAATTTAATTGTACAAAAACAAGGTATGTATATTATTGAAGCTGTATACATTTATTTACATATTTTAAGCTACCTTAGTAAATCTTATTCTAGTATTTTGCCTCTTACATACCACTCTACAAATGTAATCCTCACGGTATAATCACATTTCACTAATTTGCGTTTCTGTGAATATTTTTCAATTATATGTTGTCCCAGTTAAAATGACATCATTCAGATCGAAACCATTTATACAAATATCATACAGGGTTAATTAAACAGGTGACTTGTCCTGTAATGGAACTTCTTCCGGCGATGTTCCGTTCGCAGTGGTTTCCGTTCGATTATTCGGTGGTCTAGGCGATGATCCGAAACGTTTTGTGATCGAACTCCAGTTCTTTTTTATGGTTACAACAGCTACAACAATAATCATGCCGGCTACGATAATACCAATTACGCTTCTATCGACTCCACTAGTTTTGGTACTTATCGTTTTGGCCCCGATTTTCACGTCTGTTTCGCTCGTAGTGGCTTCAGTCTCTTCTTTAGGGTTTGCCACTATAGAATTTGAAGCCACCTGTTCCGCTGGTTCCTTATTTACTGCTGTACGTAACGAAAATTCTCCTGCTGATTGAGTTTTTTGAGTAGTTGTTGTAGTTTCAGTAACAATAGACGTTTCTTTTGTTGTTTGTGGCGATTCCGGCACTTCCGCGGGTTTCTCTGTAGTAGCATTTGCATCATTGTTTGGATTTTCAATACTAGGATCACCATCTTCGACTCCTACGTTGAAAGCGATCATACCAGGTAATGTAGCTTCAATTAAGTCGTCTTCTATATTTTGAGGTGTATCGGGACAGTCATATGTTTTCGCCTCGCAACTTCCAGTGCACACGGTCTCTAACGTTTCCTTGTAAGCTCCACAAAGTTCATCCAGCAGTTCGGGTGTGGAAGTCGCTAAAGTTAATTTTTTTAAACCTTTAAATTGTAGAAATACTTCGGATCCCAGGTTCTGGAATAACATATTACAAATTTTATTATCATCACTCAATAATTTTAGAAGTTGAAAAAAGTTAGTTTTGCGCGTTACTCACAGTTCTCATGTCATTTCCTCCCAAGTCCAATTCTTCTAATTTGGTTAGGACTAGACTGTTCTTCAAATCTCTGGGGTATTCAATAAGCCGATTGTTGGCGAGTTTCAGTGTCACTAACTCGGGAAGCTCGCTGACTGACTGAAAGGAACAAAAACATGTATTTTTATTACATTATTAGAGACGCATATAAAAAAATGAGTGCTCAACGATTCATTAAACGTTGAATATATTTATGTAGATATTGAATATACTTGTGTATGACGAATCAATATCCGGAAAAATCAAATAAAATTGTGCTTAGAAATACATATATAATTGTAATAGTAGTAATGTTAATTGAAGTGCAATTTAGTTACTTTTACTATAATGGTAAAAAAAAAACATTTTAAAATAATCTGTGATACTTACACCAGGTGCCAATTCCATTATCTGATTGTTATTCGCATTTAACACTTTTAAATTTTTCAAATCAGATATTTCTTTAGGAATCTCAGTGAGCTTATTATTCTGCAAATTTAAATTTGTAGTTCTTGGATCTATTAATTTCGGAAACTCTGTCAGTCCGTAGCCTGAACAATCTACAATGAAGTTTTTAGTATCGCCTTCTATATTGCATACGCACGGTTTTGGGCAACCGTCAGCTGTTTCTGATGTCGGGGAAACATTCGATTCGGAAGTCGAAGGTTCAGTTTCATTGTCAGAGAGGACTGGGGATTTTACATCTTCTATTTTGGGTATGGGATGTATTTCAGTGGTTGTGTCCGCTGGTTCACTGACTGCTCCTTCGCCGCTGCCTTCTATGGGACTGTCGACTGTTTCTGCATGTTCTTCTGGCGGGAATTGATTATCGCTCTCCAAAGGTATGTGTAGCTCTCCATTCTGCGCGGCCGCAACGTTAGCGCTGGAAATTGATTTCAATACATTTAAAACATGTGACCGTATCCAATAAGTACTTTTTGTTTTATCGTAACGAGCTGACGTAAAATTGCTAAGTACAGTGATAAAGATTGCGATAACTGCAAGGGCGTAGCCGAAGACCACAATCTTAGAAATTATTGTTACGTTAACATTAATAAATATTGAATTATTTTATAAAGTCACTCCATATTTAGGATTTATTTATTTTATTTGGTTAAAACGTTAGTTATGTAATGTAAATTACATTTGCAATTAGGAATCTATGGCCTTGAATATGTGTCCTAGACTAGCAATATTGATAATATGTTTTAAGTATCCTTACTGATTAGTTTTGCGGTTACGTGTTTTTGTTGGATAAAAATTGATTAAGATGTAGATGTTTGATAATTCACCGGTATAAAAATATTAGCTTATATTGCGGCTACATGAAGACAATAATTTTGTGTACTAATATAAGTAGCCGTTACTTATCTTAAAGTATTATATTAACAGGTATTTAATGGGTAAATTGATATTTAATGAAAACGTCTTCATTTTTAATAATCTACTCAAAGATAAAAACAGGAAATATAAAAATACTTACGCAAGAATTCCCAAGCAAAGCAAGAAGAGACGTTTTTGTTTCATGGCCACTGATTGCGCGGACGGACGGGAATCAGGAGTTACCTGTCGCGACAAGGACCATCAGAGCGCGGCGCCCGTAACTCACTGACAACTCCAACTATTATCACTCATTGATAAGATTACCGACGGCATGGCGCAGCTTATCGCGAATCAAACTCGATAAAGACTCTGCGTAAACGAGAAAATATATGGGGCGAGCGAATACCAATACACCACACGAGATGTTCTACGTTACGTACACAATTGTCTATTGACTATAGCGTCATACACCTCAAAAGATTATTTATAGTGCACGTGTACTATAACTCAATCCTACGCTAGTGTAATACCCGCCTTCAACGCACCTCGACTGCTAGTTAAATGAAACTGAGCATATAAACAGTAGCTAAAACAAACGAATCACATCGAGCAAGTCATCTCTGTTTTATTTATCCAGCCAACGCATTGTTTAGGAATCGATATTTGCATACTTTTGCTCAATCAGGCACTCACTGGATGTCTTTTCTTTCAAATAAGGGTCATTGTTAATTGAAATTCTTCTTCACCTCACAGATATTTCATTGAAGTTCGATGATGAATCCACCAAAACAGGATGTAGTCCGGATTTATCGGAATCAATTGCGAATGTCGCTTATCTTTAAATTTATAGAAGTATTGTTGACGCGGGTGATATCAGCACGGTAACATTGACACAATGATCGACTCAGCTAGATGACTGTGAGTAGATAATTATGCGGAGACAGATTGCCGTTTTGATATTGAAAATTTTTTCAAGAGTACCAAATAATTCTTCTTATATCAAAAATATAGCTAGGTTTCATTAAATGTTCATGTTATATTTCCTTTATTTTCAAACTAACATGAAACATTTGCAATTAACCACACATAACTTTCGCATCACGAATGATACAATCATACAATGATCGTATTGTTATGTTTACCAGTACTGCAACGGCGGCGATCTGGCGGACTACCTGCAGGCCAACCGGCTACTGAGCGAGGGCACGATACGATTATTCCTGAGGCAGCTGGCGGAGGCGATGCGAGCTATACACGCCAAGGGCATCGTGCACCGCGACCTCAAGCCCCAGAACATACTGCTCACACACAACGTGGCGCCGCCTCGCACGCCCCATCCTGCTGAAATTACACTCAAAATAGGTACCCAATTATTACATTTCTGGTTAAGATATGTTAACACGTTATTACAATTTTATAAAAGGAACTCGTCAGGCGAGTCGGTGGCATTAAAGTAGTTAAAACTTCAGAATTGTACAAATTTTTGTCGACCTAATATGTACTCGTATGCTCCATGCATAAATTTCTTCTATCTGTTCTATGAGTCACTTTTTTGTATTACTGCTAGCGTAGTGAACATTTCTTTGTGGTCACAATTTAAGGGGCATTTCTTAAATCATTTTCTGCATCATCTGGCCCCTCTCTCAATTAAATATGTTTAGACTCTTCAAAATCGTAGTAAACAATAGTTTTATCAGTTAAGTTTTTATTTCATTTATCAGTAATGAAGGGGATTGTATATTATTTCCATAACTCGTGGCTCTGTCCAACTGTAAGCAACTATAAAGATCGAAAGCAGGTTTTAACTGGGTCGCAAACATATAATTTGCGACGTGTTTTAGAAAGTCTGCCAAAAAAAGTTATTAGCATGCTAGTAATATACAATTCTTATTTCCGTTTAGTCTTTGCCCATTAAGAGATTTTTTTTCAATACATCTGACTTATTTCCATTAACACTTTATAATATTTTTTTATTATATCTATGTACAATTTATTAATATACTATTAGTTACCCGACTGACCGAAAATGATGTAATGATTATAGCACTTAAAGTTTATAATCTCTTCATTGTAACATTTTTTATCCTAGTGTTAAATGTATGCAGACTGCATTGTACTTTATTTAATTAATCTATACATCGTTGGGTGAAAGGCTATTTGTTTTAAGCGCCATTAGGTAAAATGTTCACGAGAGCCATTTAAAGTCTTCATTTAAAAAAAAACATAAATGCAAACCCTAAAAAAATTAAATTGAAAGATTTTCAGACCGGTTCTAGATTAAAATTACTATATTTCTGCATACTTCACTATTTATTTCATATTTAAAATTCTGAGTATATGAGTCAATATCGCGTAAAATGGCGGTTGAAACAAATAGCCTCTCACCCGTCGATATGTTAAGTTGAATTCAGGAAGCTTACCGATAATTGTATTTATTTTTCTTAGCTGACTTCGGCTTTGCGAGATTTCTCGAGGAAGGCAACATGGCCGTCACACTCTGCGGCTCACCGATGTATATGGTAAGTATTGCACCAGTTTACAGCGTGTTAATTGATCTTTTAATCGATATAAAGCTTAAAAATAAGTTTAAATAAGTTACATACCACTTGCTTTAATCTCAAAGCGAAAGGCGCAATGATAAAAATTGCATCATGTTTTCCTTGCATAATCATCTTGTGCAATACAAAATTAATGATAATTACATTTCATTGTCATGTTTAATTATATGTTTAAATGTAATTTTTGTCTGTCTGCAGGCTCCCGAGGTGATAATGTCATTGAAATACGACGCAAAAGCAGATCTATGGAGTTTAGGCACGATCGTGTACCAGTGCCTGACGGGCAAGGCCCCCTTCCAAGCTACCACGCCGCACGAGCTTAAAGCATTCTATGAAAACAGTGTCGATCTACAGCCAAAGTACGTGAATTATCTCTTCAACAGCATATTTCAGCATTCGTTAAGGTGTATGACAGTCATAGTACTTTGTCATATTATTTCATCAATCTTACATCTTATTTATAAATGCGAAAGTTTAGATGGATGGATGTTTGTCAGAGTTTGTAACCTAAACAATACTACAAGGATCTCTATGTAACTTGGAATATGTTATATAGAGGATAGTCTGAAAGAACGCGTAGGCTACTTACTTGATGTTTTAAATACCACGCGGGAGGAGTTGCGGGCAAAAGTTAGTACACCATAAACTGTAAATTGTGTATTCCGACCTCACATTTAAACTCAACGGTTTTAAATAATAACGGAGAAAAATAGATTACTTATCGAAAGACTACTCCGCAATATGATATTGTCGGTTATTTGGATTGTCATAGTTATTTATAACCAATGTTGTCTCATAAATTCAGTGATATTTGAGAAATAAGTAATCTTGACATGATTGTGTATACTTTCTGTTTGTCATATTTGATTTTTATAAATTTTAACTGACAGAAAGAATGGCCTACGAATGTATTTGAAAATTTACGCGGTGCAAAAATTAACTGAAACAGATTTTCTTTAGTCAACATTCTTAAGATAGCACTTAAAAGATTAAAAACATTTTAAAGTTGTCCGTTTGAACTTTTGTATCGTTCTCACTCTGAATTATAAAAAGCGGGTCAAGTGCAACTTACTCTCAAACGATTATCTGAATCCAACAAATTGCTAGTTTGATGTTCAGATGTAGTAGTTTATTAAAAATTAATTATAATTCAAGGACAATCTTGTATTGAATATTGCTATATACGTTTACAGTTCATATAAGTAACTTACACAAAATTTAATCGAAAAGTTGATGAAAATTTGGTGTCACTGAAAGTATTATACTTTAGAAAACATAGAGTGAGCCATTAATCTGAAATCGTTTTTATTTAGCTGTCATCATCTTTGTTATTTAGACCTATTTTCAACTTGATCGTAATTAAGTATTTATTGCGTGGACAACATAAAACATTTAAATTGTCCACTAATTACCCTTTGCTTGTAATACGAGGCGATGTTAACTGAGATTTTTCAATAACGTTTTTAAAGTTTTGGCGCGTTTATTTTTTAAATTGGCTTTTATGTTCAAAGAAAATTAGTTCGAAATGTCACCTTCAAACGGAAAATAACACGTCGCATTTTATGCCAAGTAGACTGTTTTTTTTAATGTTTTCAAACAGTTTTATTACAACACCGTATCTGTTGTTGAAGCCAATGTTCAAGGTGAAAACTGTTTAATAATACTTCCTTTTCGCGGCCAATGATTACAACACTGAAAAAAATTATTATTTAATTGTGGTTTTAACATTTTGAAAAATAATGATAAAGCAAACCAGAATTGGGTGTTCAATAGATTCCTTTAATATAATTGATATTTTCATGTTGCTATTTGTCGACCCTGACAACTTTACAAGTATTCTATAATCATTATGGTTTAAGAAATAATCATTTTGCAATTTGTGTCTCATCGGTTTTTCTCTTGATTATTTTGTACGTAATTTGTTGTGTAAGTGATTATGTAACGAAATGTAACCACGTGTAGATAATTAACGGTAGATAAGTTATAAGTTTTCCTATACTTGAACAATATGACTATGTTGTACCTATTGTAAATGTAATAACTTGTTATACTTATTATTGAATACTATTTGCTGCCCGCAACTTCACGAGGAATTAAAAATGTATCGATTGTTTTCAGCAATAACGTAGCTTTTTAATGGTGAAAGAATTTTTTAAATCCGTCAAGTAGTTATTGAAATATTTCAATACGTACAAAAATACAAATCTTCCTCTAAAGAGGAAAATTTGTAAACAATATAAAGGAAGATAATTATTCCCGTTTAACATAAAAAATGGTTTTGAAAGGCTTATAGCTTACTTACATTTACTTATTGTAATATCTTTTCAAGTTTACTGAACTTGTGTGTTATATTTAACAAGTTAATTATAACCAAGCTATCGTTATTGATTGAAATATTATAACAAATGCAGCTGACGTCAATTAACAAATCAGCTGTTAGATATACGAACAAGTCTATATGTCATTTTTTCGGTACAGAATGCCAGCGGGCACGAGTCCAGAGCTATGTAATCTACTGATCGGTCTGCTGAGGCGAAGCCCACGCGAGCGCATGCCCTTCGAGATGTTCTTCAACCACCCGTTCCTGCAGCGGCCGCGCACCGCGTCCACCACCAGTGAGTTCTCCTTCTTCTCTTAACTATTAACATTATTTAGTTTGCTGAAATTTCCATTTATTTTATCACTAACTAGTTCATTAGTGGTAGGATAAAAAAATCAAATGAGAAAATCAATTTACGTAGTTCGAAAACACATTTAAAGAATTCACAGAATAAAACTCTAACAAATGGTTGAACGAAGCTGGGAAACTGGCCATTAATCGTACTACGGATAAAAACAACGGTATAGCGCATCGTTTCATCTTATAAGGTTGCCATATATTATAATGTTTAGGGGACTGCCTTTGTGTTGGAAATGTCGATTAATTGATCAAAAATGTGTAAGTACATGTAATTGTCTAAAGTGCGATTGTAGTTTTGAAGATTTGCAAAAGAAATATGTGCAAAAAGTTAATTTTGAATACCCATGTGTACAATTTTATGCGTTATCACACTACGCAGTAATGTTTTTTGTGAATCCTAGCAGTATTTAAAAATTATAATTGTTTATTTATGTTATTTAAATAGCATAATTGAATAGTGCTTGGTAGTAGTATCTGTGCACTAATTAGATATAAGTAAGACATTGTCCCAGATTTGAAAGAAGTTATATGGCAACACTGTGCTATACATATTATGAAACCACAATCTGACCGGGTGACTAATCAGCTGCAACCATTCCATTGTTTACGCTTTCGAAATTTGTAATCATTCTACGACATTACTATCCAGTAATTTCTAAATTAATTAACATTGGTAATTACTGAGGTGACGGCTGTTTAACATAATTACTACTACAATTTAACCAGTTTAATGTGTAAATAGATTTATGTTATAAATTATTCAATAGTTAACAATATTAATTTATTTCTAAATGCTTTGTAAAATATTACTATGCACATATTTATTTGATACAATACTCTTAGGACTCGCATCTTACGCTACGAATGAGGACGACCTCGTAACAGTAATTGCAAAGCTGTTATGACGTGCTTCTCAGATCGATTCCTAGCCAAACCATAATGTTTATGCTATGAAGTTTCAATATTCGTTTAGGTCTGGTTTATTTTAGACCTGTATATATTAAACTCAACATAACTAATTCAGAGTATCTATTTAACAAGGGTCTAAATTACTATTATTATGAAATAAATGAAAGATTAAACTCAAGTGACGAGTGTTGAGTCATGTTATCACAAATTATCGACAGTTGGTATAGTAAAATAAAACAAAACTTTATATGAACATCGCCATTCATGTTTTTCATCCCAGCTTTCTAGTCCGGAATTTTTGAACTATTGTTGTTGTCCAGGTTTGGACACGGATCTTCCTGATATATTGGAGTGCGTTATGGAGTGCCAAGTCGATACTAACTGTTACCTAGAGGAGTCCTGGGACAGTCAGGGTATACAACATTTACACTACTGCTTTGGTCGCATGGGGTGAAACTTACTGTGCCGTTAACGAGCAATGTATTCGCCCTTCAGGTTTCTTTACGTGCCGTAAATTCTTCGTGCATACTAATACAATGAGCATGGCTTTATACTATTTAACGCTTTTGGTAACGTCAAAGATATTTGGGGTTCAAAAATTTCAAGGACTAGTGTATATTTATGTGCCTCCATTGCTTTAATACATATCGTAACTTCTTTTTGACTTAAGTTTTAAGACTGTGCTGTGTTGCTTTAAAGATCTGTAAGAAAATAATTAATGTAACACAGTGCTGATTCGAAACCTATCCATAGTATCGTTTTAATTACTTTTAACTTACACAATACAGATGCGCATTGCCATTTTTAAAGCCATTCCATTGATTTTGTGTCGTGGATTTCAAAAGCGATAGATATTTTTCAATACCAATAAATGTTGTTGTTGAAATAAAAGGTCACAGTCTTATAATATTGTAGTAATGAATGGTCGTGTGTCGCGTCAGCAGGAGCAGGAGCGGGCGCGGCGTGTGCGAGCGGGGGCGGGGGCGTGGCCGCTCGCTCGCCGCTGCCCGCGCCGCAGCCGGTCACACACACCATCACCAAGCCACCCGTCTCCTCAGGTCAGAGTTAACTATCAGTCTACATAAACTACTATAACCACATTATACTTTGTTCAAGTTACTGGCAGCTAGTAGTGCCGTGTGACAAATCATACTACATACGAAAGTTTCCATTGCCCAAATGCGCGTACAACTCCACACATACTTATCCATACATTTTTCTGAAGCCTAATAATATAAGTCAAAATTCTCACTTGTAATTATGTTTATACACAATGTAATAGAATCGCGATAAGTAAGTTTTAGGAATTGTTGCTTTTCATATTACTTCGTTGTTTAGTTTTGTATATTTAGGTGTAGTGAAAGTTGTTTTCAGTCCGCAATCTAAGAGCAGAACTGTCAGAACTTTGATAAGATATACTAATTTAGACATTGTTTTATCGCAACGCTCAGTCTAATTGGGTCATTTGTTAGATTGCTTTATTATGTTTATACGTTCCTAAACATGCAAGCGGTACATATTGTGATTCATACAAGTATGTGTACTTTTGTACAATTTTTGTAAACCTTAGTCCCGCACTAATTGCAAATTCAATAAAATTTCCATATACTTCATTGTTCATCCCGGTCCACAGATACTTTAAATTAAGACTTGACCTACTGATACTTCGCAAATATAATTGTGAAATTAACTTGTTTTTGTTTTCTGCCTGATTCTAATAATATCTGTCAATTAGTATGTCATCAACCTGGACGATAAACATTCGCATTGTCCGGCATTGATTAATAAACAGTGTAAACATTTGGAACGCTACTGGAAACAATAAATTAATTTAACTTCAGATAACGCGTACAATAAACTGTGTATTTGTATAATCACTGTGCATACAACATTAATGAGTACGACTTATTTAACAAACATATAGTTTCATATTATTTTTAATTATATTTTTCCATAATTTATCTTACAGCTTTACGGTTTATTTATTGTAAATTTAACACCATATCTGCAGTGATCACTGTAGACTGTACAGACTGCCACGATCTTCTACATATGTTAATGAAATTATTCTTCACCAGCTTTGGCCCCCGACTCCGTCCGCGTGGAATGAAATCAAACCAAAAGAAAGTAGCCTATGTGTTCTTCCAGACTATGCTCTACATCTATGCAAAATTTCATCGAGATCCGTTTAGCCATTTTGGCTAAAAACTCTAACAAACATCTAAACTTTTGCATTTATATTTTTAAGTAAGATTCACAAGATGTCCCCTCTATCTTTCTTTTATCTTCATATGTTTGCATATAATTATAATTGCTATTTACGAATGCATAATTTTGGTATTATATTTACTCTATTGTATATTGCTTTGTTCTGTCAAGACAATGGCTCGCAAAATATTTTTTCGCTTGCAGTACAATACTCGTGTTTATCCAGCGTCATTACAATACTACTTTATAGGTCAGGCTAAAGTACACTCGAATGGACAACAAATAATTCATATTAAAAGGAAATGAGATCAAATGTTAATATATTATTAACGATATAAGTATCTTTAATATTCTCATAAAAATTAAAAAAGCATCATAAAATGGTTCTAATAGTGCAATGAAAAGGTATTGTATGCGCTCGGAACACAATATTAGATAACCTTCCCTACCCTTGAGTGTACGAAGCTCGGTATATCAAGTTTACTGCCGCAATAACTTACGAGAAAACGATTTATAAGTCCATACCGTGTCGATATGGCTTACGAAGGAAACAAAGCGATAGCCCAAATAAATTATTGTCAGAAACGTCGCAACTTTTACAACGACCTTAATCAAGTAATGAAAACACTAGATATATTAAACTGTCAGTCGGTTAAATCATTTGGATTTAAACAATTCAAAGTTTTTTGGTAAACTTAGAAACAGATCTCGATTTGTACCTAATCTTAAATCTACTTATAACTGTTATTGGCAACGTTATAGTAGAACACTTACATTTTACGACTGCTCAATAATTAGCGAAAAGATTTTAATGTGACATTGTTTTGTGTCAATATTATACGTCTGCGTCTACGTCGTCTGCTGCAAGTAGCGACCTTTCACACACAACAATGCGTGCTCATTTCGCAGCAGTTCCTTTCATAAATCCCAGCCATTGTATTTTTAAACAATCATACATTAAATGATACAATGTATTTATATTTAAATATTAAATTTTCGGTAAGACGATAATGATCGAGCTGTAGTAGAATTAATGTTATTACACTTTTTTCAAACGATGCAGGTAACTGTTGCAGTAGATTCGAATCTCACATTTCTATTTTTTTTATTGCAGCCGAGTCATCAGACACGACTTGGGCAGGAGAAGACGACTTCGTAGTGGTGGAGGCGACGG